AGAGAGAGAGAGAGAGAGAGAGAGAGAGAGAGAGAGAGAGAGAGAGACTGTGCCTAGGTCTATGTGTGTAAGGGCTAGAAAGATGTCTTGGTGGTTTACTACTCTTGGAGAAGACCAGGATTCACATGACACATCCCAACTGCCTATAACTACAGTTCTAGGAAATCAATATAAAGCCCAAGTTTGGTTTCAGAACTCATGGTGGTGGCTAATTCCATTTCAACAGGATCTGTCTCCGTCTTCTGGCCTCCGGCTTGCACATGATGAACAGATATACATGTGGCAAAATACACATGAAATATTGAAAAAAAAGTTTTTTCTCAAAGACCTATAAGCAGCCACCATTTCCAGAACCTTTTCATATTTAACTGAAAACATCCCTTTAATGTTTACTGGAGACCTTAACTTTTAACTTCCATGGATAAATCTGCCCAAATTCTCCTGATATCTGTGAATGTTGCCTAGAGTATATTTTATTTTAATTGGAATTAAGTTTTTTGTTTACATTTTCCTCATTAACCAGCTGATGAAGTACACTTTCTTTTTTACTTTAAGAAGATAATATAGAGGTAGGCACAAGTTAGATATGGCTATGAATAGGTTTGAATAAACTACAGTTTTTTTGTCGACTTTGAAATGAGGAAAATAATACTTTCTGTAGTGGGCAGACTGGGAGAAACTAGATCTAGTTTCTCAGTCTAGTGGCACATTAGACTCAATCACAGGAGGTTTGTTTGTTTGTTTTTATTTAAAATGCATTTGTATTGTCCTGATTGTATCTAATGAGGAAGCTGACATCAGCACTATTAAAGTACCTCTTTAAAAAGTCCAGAGGTGCTTTTACTCTGAAGACCAAAAGGAAACTCAGTGGTATAATAATTGGAATTAAAGTTTTGGTTGTATTCTGGGCACTCTTTTTTAGGTTGCTATTAAGTGATTGAGACCTGTTGCCTTGAGAGGGCTCCAGAAGTGCTTGTAATGAAAACCTTATCAAAAATGCAAAGCTACAATTAGTTGATGAATTTGGTTGTATTGGAGTAGTAGGTTACACAGTTTACTCTTTACAAAGAAAAATTCCCTCCAAAAGGTGTGATGGGGTTTGAGGTCTTTGGTCTGGGAATAAGGATGGGATGTAAATAGTAAGAGTGTAATTTCTTACAATTATGGAATCTGAAATTCAATGTCTAGGTGTTAATTGGTTTGCTTGTTTTCTTTTTTAGGTGTGTGTGTGTGTGAGAGAGAGAGATGTGTGTCTGTGTGTGTTGAAGAACTTGTTGCTGTCTTTGTTAGATGAGTAGTGTGTCTTAAAATTTATAAGTCAGTTTGTGCTTTATGTCCTGAGTATATATGCTTTTGCAATATACTTAAGGTATTAGCCAGTTTAGATCAGTTTGCCCCATTCTATAATTTAACCAAGTGGCAGCTGACTTCTTGATACACTTTGAAGTTAGTTCCAGAAGAAAATTGAAATTACTTGATACAGACAGGTTTTGTGGTATAATGGCTCCAGTACCATTATTGGTTTAAGTTGAATGTAGTAATGAAGCTTTAGCTTTTCACTTTTTACCTGTCATTTATATAGCCATGCTCTCTTGACTTGATTCACTGGTGATAATAAACTTGAATAGTTTTTTAGTTCATGCTTGTTATATCTAAAATAAAATACTCTCTTTTCTCTTTTACTTGTAGGTTATGCAATGGTCTCTGCAAGATGTTTTATTCTTGAATTTGAACCTTTTAAGACTGACAAATGCTGGTACTTCATCTTCTATAAGTGGACTATAATTTCTTTTCTTAAGACAACTACATAAGCAGACAAAATTGCAAAGATCTGCCCTGTGTCGAGTATGACAGCCACGACTCGTGGCTCTCCAGTTGGAGGGAATGACAACCAGGGCCAAGCCCCTGATGGACAGTCTCAGCCTCCCCTCCAACAGAATCAGGTAAGAAAGATACTAGTTAAAGCCACATTGCTATGTCTCCTCAATTCTTGAGTGCTAAGTAAGGAAATATGGCAGAAAGAATTTTGAAGTAACCATAAAGTGATTGTTTTAAGAAAAGTAAATACAGGTTTTGAGTAGCAAAAATGTTAGGTGCTGTTTTTTGTTTTTTGGTTTTTGGTTTTTTTTTCCCCAGATGCCTTACATTATCAGTCTTCAATAAAATGAACGAATTAAGCTTAGTGTCAATTCTGGGAAAACCATTGTTTGATTTAGTTTAGCCTATGGGATCAAGTAAATTATAATTCCATTTTGTATGTCATATACATAAAATCATTAATTGTCAATCTAAAATATTTTTAAAGAGTATGTATTGGAGTATTATTATTACTGGTGTTCAAATTTCACCTTTGTACCATACTAACTTTATTACTAGGTAAATTATATAATCTCTAATCCTGTTTCTTCATTTATACACTAGGGATAACAGTAATGGAACTTCATAGCATTGTTTGAGGACCAAGTAAAATGAGGGGGGTGGGAAAATGGAGGTTAACACCCAGAATGAGGCTTCCCCTTCTAAAGGAAATGGGGAGGGGACTTATGTGAGGGGGTACTTGGAGGAGAGGAAGGGCTGACATTGGATTGGTAAATAAATAAATAAATAAATAAATAAATTTAATAATAATAAAAATACTTTAGCATAGATACTGGTATCAGTATTTACTTGCCCTAAAGCTCTTAAGGCAATATGTATCAATTTATGTAAGGTTTCTAGTTCTGATTCCTGTTCCCCCATTGGAAATGTTTAGTAGGAAGATTTTACTAGTTAAAAAATCTTGATTTTTGTAAGCAAGTTTTCTATATAGATAAATCTTTTTGTTTTTCTGAGTTAGGAACTCTACATAGCCCTAGCTGTCTTGGAACTTACTATGTAGACCAGGTTGACATTGAACATGCAGAGATCCTCGTGCCACTGTCTCGTGCCATGTTAAAGACATATGCTATCATCCCCACCTAGATTCATCTTTTTTTAAGAGTTTTTTTGTTTGTTTTTGGTCAGTTTTTTGCACTTCTTCTAGAATGCCAATTTAATTCCCCCTTTAAAACGCTTTTGGGACTTGGATAAACCTCCATAAACATATACTTTTACTCTCATCTGCTTATTCTTTTCTTTACTGTCATTGGATTTGGTTTTCTTTTCTTTCTTTTTTGTCTTTGTCTTTGTTTTTGATTTTGAGACAGAATCTCACTTGACTGTCAGCTCTGTAGACCAGGCTGGCCTCAAACTCACAGAGATCCACCTGCCTCTGCTTCCTGAGTGCTGGGATTAAAGGCTTGAGCCATCACCACCCAGCTTGGATTTGATTTTCTTGTTTTCATCTCCTGACATTTATTTTAGCCTTTTCTGGTATACACAGTTTTATACTTTGAAGAATTAAATTGAATAACACAAAGAGTAAGATTTGTGATATTTATGATACTGATGGTGTTATATGTAAATTAATTCAAGTTGTGTATACATCAGTAAGACATACTGCTTACAGAGGTACACATTTTTGTAGTGTTTGGGTTAATGCAAAAATGTTACTGTAGATTACTTTTATCTGTGGCTTGGTACTACTGTCTTGCTATTCAGCTGTTACAGCTATCATTCCTATAGAAAAGATATTGTACCCTCTCTGATTCCCCTTCCTCTCCCAGTTGAGAGAAATGAGCAAGCCAGATAACTTTCATCCAAATGTGGCAACTTTGTTAATTCATTTTCTCTTACAATTCTCATTTTTAAGACATAAAATGGTTATAGAACTTGGAGCCATAAATTTGAAGGCCAGTATTCAAGATTCTTTAAGCATAGTCAAAGGGTTGGTAGATGCTAATAATTATTTTTAAAACCAGGAGCTAGTAGTAGTTTATCTTTCTCTGTCTTTTCTACTTTATTACATGCATCGTGCATGGATTCTAACCTCTTTTGCAATGTAATGGCTTTGCAGGGCTTTCAGTGGAAAAAAATACTAATTGTTAACATTATATTCGTTTTGAAACAAATTCTCTCACTATGTGCAGCTTTGGCTGGCCTGGATTCCTCTATGTAAACCAGACTGGCCTCAGTCTCAGATCTCATGTCTCTGTCTCCCAAATGCTGAGATTAAAAGCATATGTTAACTTTTATTTTTTTTAGAGGTCTTAAGTTTGTGACATTAATATTATATGTCTGTTAGGTATAATATATGCACAGTGTGTTTGTTAAGATAGCTGGTATTTTTAAAACAAAAGAACAAAAACAGATTACATTTCTTGCCTATAGAATCACTCTGTTTACTTAGAATTTCTCATTGTTTCTTATTATTTTATATTCTTTAATGTTAGTGTTTTAAGTACTTCATAAGATTTGATACTGTTGGATCACTAAGGAGTGACCAAAGTGTTAATCAGAGCCTATGTTAGGGCTTAGTTTTTTAGTTTTGGTTTTTTCTTTTAATTAAATATATGTGTATATATCTATCTGTGGGTACGTGCATATAAGTGCAGGTGCATACAAAGGTAGGTGTAAGATCACCCTGGAGCTGGTATGAAAGGTGCTTGGAAACTGCCTTGTCAGAGACCAAGGAATTGAACTCTATTCCTCTGGAGCAGCTGAGTAATCCCTCCAGCCCAGAGCTCAGTTTCTCATAAGCTTTACATATATTTACTTAAAGGGAAATTAGAAATAATAACCCAAGTGAGTGACTTCTGCACCGTGTGTGTTCTGGGTGTTTAATTCGAGGCATCAGGCTCAGCAGCAAGTGCCTTCCTTACTCAGCCATCTTGCTACGACCCATAAAGGGAATTTCTTAATCAAAATTTTAACTTTAAAATATGTACCTGTAGAAGAAATTTTTTTAAGTCATAAGACATAAAAACTAGTAGCAAGTGGGATATCTATTCCTTAGATGTGGTATCTGAGAAGGATCTGGATTATAATTTGGCAATGTGTGCCAATGTCTTTAAAAGAAATTATCTATACTGTTGAAGTTATATTTTTAGTATCCTAAAGAAAGTTTTGCGTTCTATAAGATGGTTTATACTTGGCAATGATTCATGTTAATTTTAATTTATGTAATGCTGAAGAATTTGAATACTTAGTGAATTATGGGGCTGGAGAGATGGCTCAGTGGTTAAGAGCACTGACTGCTCTTCTTCCAAAGGTCCTGAGTTCAATTCCCAGCAACACATGGTGGCTCACAACCATCTGTAATGGGATCTGATGCCCTCTTCTGGTGAATCCAAAGATTAGCTACAGTGTACTCATACAAAATAAGTAAATCTTTAGATATTGAATGATAAAGGACAGATATAGTCCCAGTTTTATTGAAAATTTATGCATACATGGCCAGTTTTTATTTCACTCCTAAAAAAAAATCACAAGGGTGTAATTAAAATGTCGTTACTGGTGTTTTATCTGTTGGTATGAAGTTATAAATGTTTACAGTTGTTTTTGTCTGTGTTTTCTGTAAGAATGTGAATACACAGGATAAAGTGTTTTGTTGGTGTTTAAAATAAAACAGGCTTCTAAAGTCACATACTTCAGATAGCTTTTGTATGGGATTTCTAGCACTTGAATTCTTTGACTGGCATCTTGACTGTTTGATAACTGCAGTGTTGCATTTTACGTGTACAAGCTCACCATCAGGTTGCTAGTCTATCTTGGAAATTCTGTATAAACTTTGAAATATTAAATTATAAGCATTCAATGATGCCTTTGTAGAATTTCATGTTACTAACATTTTTTTAAAATAATACTAATAGGTTTGTGATTGTGTATGTGTGTGTGTTAATAGAAACTTAAATCTATAATGTTATTTTTTAATCAAGACTTCATCGCCTGATTCGTCCAATGAAAATTCCCCTGCAACTCCTCCTGATGAGCAAGGTCAAGGTGATGCTCCTCCACAGATTGAAGATGAGGAACCTGCATTTCCACACACTGACTTGGCAAAGTTAGATGATATGATCAACAGGTCAGTTGGTTTTGTTTCTAATATATATCCTATATAAGAAAACCAAGGATTTTTTTTTATAGCATTATGTGTGGTGGTAGGTAAGGAGTTTCTTAGCCTGCCTTTAATGATGTTCTGAAGAGTTGTAAAGAAGTTGTAAAGGTTGTAAAGAAATGTGAAGAACATATCAGAAATCCCCATCTGAGCATTATCCTCACTGGGCAGTGCAAGTTTGCCAGGGGCTGCTTTAAAACTGGGCTCTGGAGCAATAGCTGAGCCATTAAGAGTGCTTCTTGCTTTTCTAGAGGATCAGGGTTCAATTCCTGGCACCCACGTGGCATCTTTTTCAGCTGTCATCTGTAATTCCAGACCCAGGAGTCTGGTGGCCTCTTCTTCTGGTCTCTAAAGACATCAAGCATACACAGAGACACAATACTTATAATACATATAAATTAATTACAAATGAGAATATTATTTTAAAGAATAATGAAAATATACTTTCTTGTAGGTACTTTGCTTTACTTTTTGCTGTATTTTCACTTAAAGTCAAAACAAATCTGCGCTGGGAAATAAAAATCCTTTGCATTAAAATAAAACTGAGTTGGTCGTAGGGTCCCACACCATTAATCTTAACACTTAGTGGGTAAAGGTAGGCAGATTTCTGAGGTTAAGGCCAGCCTGGTATGAGTGAATTCTAGGACAGCTAGAATTACATAGTAAGACTTGGTCTGGAAAAAACACGCAAACAAATATCTGATTTTCTTAGTAATAATTGTGCATTACTAAGTATAGAACTATGTTATATAATATATAATAAATAGATTAAATTTCTCTAACCCTTCTCTCATAACCCCCAGCTTTAGTTCCCCCTTTTTACATATTCCAACCAATTTTTTAATAATCAGGAGTATATTTTTCATATTATATTTCTGTTTACTATCATGTATTTATTTTTCTACACATACAGAATCTTAATATAATTTTGTAACTTGTGTTAACTAGTTTGAAATATTCTTCCAGTGGACTCATTTTCAAAGGAACATTTAAGAGAACATATATGCTTCTAATAGCAGCCTATATATATATAGTAATCACATGCAATGAACTATTGAAAGTATATATTTATAATGATCCTTGATTGTTCTCAGATGACATAACAAAGTTGCATTGCTACATTTCAGTTTTGGCTAGTGATTGATAAAATATGCAGATTAAATTCTAGGCTACATAAAACAATTCTTTTTTCTTTTCTTTTCTTTTTTTTTTCTTTTTCCTCGAGACAGGGTTTCTTTGTGTAGCCCTGGCTGTCCTGGAACTCACTCTGTAGACCAGGCTGGCCTCGAACTCAGAAATCTGTCTGTCTCTGCCTCCCAAGTGCTGGGATTAAAGGCATGTGCCACCACCTCCTGGCAAAACAATTCTTGATAGTAGAAGGCAAAGGATGTTTATAAATAAATAATGCATAGTTGTTTGTTTCTAATGCGTTATTAGGAAAAGTTGATAGGTTATCAAGCATAAATCAGTCTTGGCCCCCTGAAGTTTTATTCTTTGTGAGGAAGTTCAAGCCTTTTTAAAATCTATCTTGAAAACTCTTTTCTTGTGACATTTTCATAATAGGCCTCTGTGATGCCTAATTGATATTTTAGTAGCTTATATTAATTTTTAAACGTCTGCTTGTAGAGACAAGTGATAATTGTAAAAAAAAAAAAAAAAAAACTTCAACCAGCACCAATGTTTTTATATTTAATGCTATTTTAGTTAATATTTAATATTTTCAGAGTGAAATAAATAATTGTAATTAGTAACTGACTATAGTACCTTTTTTATTTAGTGCATAACCAGTAAGTCTCTTTATTTCATAAATTCCTAGGCCTCGATGGGTCGTTCCAGTTTTGCCAAAAGGGGAGTTAGAAGTGCTTTTAGAAGCTGCTATCGATCTTAGTAAGAAAGGTATGTCTCGGTGTTATGCTTTTCTAAATGCATGCTGCTAGATATGTTTTCACTTTATTCTTGAAAACTTCATTTTCCTTTTAAAACAGTGTTTTAAGTAAGTGTATAGTAAGCTTATAAATAGAGGATTGTCCTTTTTAAAGAAATGTGAACTCAAGAGTGCTAGACATAAAATGTATATGTATTTGTGTTTCTAAAGAGTAAGCTCATTGTTTAGATTTGCAATCAATCAATGATTTAAAACATTTCCATTATTGAAATTCCATAATATACACAAAAGTTTTGCAATTAAATGCTCTGTAGGTGATACATCCATCAGTCAGGTTTAAGTAGCTGCAGAATTGGGAAGTGGATGGTGAGTATTCTAAGGGATTTTTTGAGATGAGTCATGTGTAAACCTGTAAATTACTTAAGCTTTCCTGAAGCAAAAGTGTATGACTCTTAATCTGTGATTCTTTGAATGAAGGCTACTATTTTGTTGATTGTTTTCAATTTGTGTATTTATTGTGGTTGGGGCTTGGGATACATATACAATCAAGAACTTGCAAGAGTTCTTTCCATCCACCCTGTAGGTTCTTGGGATCAAACTGTTTTTGTAGGTTGAGCCATATGGCTAGCCCAGTAAAACTAGCTTTTAAAAAAATATGAAATATGTGGTTATTTTTTCTCTAAAAGAAAAAAATGACTTGTAAATGTGGTTGTTCTGTGTTTAAAGGAAATATTAAAAACTCAGTTAAAGGAATATGGTACTCAGTTGTCCAGAAGTAAAAGGTTAATGTTGAAATTAAGCAATTTTATTAAATTACTCTCATCTATTTCTAATGCTGTAGAATTCTCTTAGTAGAGGACTATGACTATCTATGGTGCTCAGTTCATTTATTTTTTTAAGGCACTGGAATTGTTTTTACTTCCTTGACTAAACCTAAGATCTTTTACATGTTAAGGCTAGCTGCCTTCACAATGAGCTATATCCCCAGTCCTGAGTTATTATTAGTATTATCACATTAAATGTACTTTTGCATACTTATTTTAAAATTTTTTTAGGGTGGGAGGGCTGAAGAAATAGCCAAGCAGTTCATTTATGGATGCTTGGAGAAGAAACCCAAGTTAGGTTCCTAGCACCCACAACTACCTGTAATACCAATGCTTAATCACCTGCACTCAGCATAGTATAAACTCCGGCCATTACATACACACTTATATTTTTCTTTAAATAGTGATTATGAGTTAAGTCTTTTTTCTGACATATTAGAAACTTTGAAATAATAATAATATTATTTCATCGTGAGCATTTTTTTTTACCAGCTGTGCTCTTCAACTGTTAGCTTGTTATCCAGGTTTTTGATTACTTATGCCTGCATTATATAGTTGAGCATAATTATTTTTTCTCCTCTTTTTTAGGCCTTGATGTTAAAAGTGAAGCATGTCAGCGATTTTTCCGAGATGGGCTAACAATCTCATTCACAAAAATCCTTACAGATGAAGCAGTGAGTGGCTGGAAGTTTGAAATTCATGTGAGTTTTCCATTTGACTTTTAAAAAGAAGATTATATAGTGATCCTTTGGATGGGAGGAACAAGTGTGTGTGTTTGTGTGTATATATATTATAGTATAAAAGTATAACTTTTAAAGTAATTTCATATTAATTCATCTCTTCGGAGGCAGCGTCTGGTGCTGTCAATTATAAAATGTGCTGCTATTTTATGTATTAAATGCAAAATGTCCAAGAAGGGGAAATATTAACTCAGGTCTAGGGATACCAGAAAGGTCAGTGTTATAGAAGTAATGACAAACGAACTCACATGTATATTTTAATTTGGGCACCTAAAGTTCCTAAGTATTGGAATCATGAACAGTTTAAACAGTTCTATATAGCCTTGATTCAATTTACAGTTGTAATTCCTTTTTAAGACTAAAAGTTTTCTCAAGCCCCTAATATCTCCAAATATTGAACAGAGACAAAAGCAAATACTTCACTACTCATTATTTGTAGGATAAAATCAGATTTTACTTCAACAGTGAAAGAAGTTGTTTTTGGACTAATAAGATGCTGTAAATGCTACAAACCTGTTTCTATGTATGGAAATAGTCATAAAGCAGATGATGTTTTGTGGTCTGAACCGTTTTTTCAATTACGACCAGGGGATGAAAGTCTCACTATCTGGTTTAGCATAATTTCTTAGATTTAGAAATACACAGCTTGGCAGTGTATAGTCTTCCATCTGGGGTAACTGATATATTATTTCAATTTTAGAAAAATGGGAATTTGTATCTTGTCTGAAGATAACAGGAGAATTTGGCACCTCATAATACCTACTTCATTTAAAACCAAATAGCTTTTTGAAAGCCAATTAATTTGGTCATAGTACTAGTGGATCAACTAGTATCTATCAGTATAAAAAATGGGGAGCTCATTTAACATTAAGAGTAATTAGAGTTACATCTGTTTGAAATTGCAATGCTTTCATATTCTAAATCACCTTTCTCCCATATATAACAGAGATGTATTATTAACAATACTCATCGCCTGGTGGAGCTATGTGTGGCTAAGTTAGCCCAAGATTGGTTTCCGCTTCTAGAACTTCTTGCCATGGCCTTAAATCCTCATTGCAAATTCCATATCTACAATGGTACACGTCCCTGCGAGTCAGTGTCCTCAAGTGTTCAGTTGCCTGAAGATGAACTCTTTGCTCGTTCTCCAGATCCTCGATCACCAAAAGTATGCTAGTTTGTTATTTTCAAATTTTTATTAAGATTGTTTTGTTCTACCACAGAACTTTAATCTCAGTCTCCTGGTAACTTGGCAAAAAGACTGGTTTAATTATACTCTTTTATAAAATAGGTTCTGCATTATGTTTTGAATTTTTTATTTTGTACCAAAGCTACATTTTATTGTTTGTACTACTATCTAGTTTTTCTGTGTAGTAATAATTGACATCTGACAACCAAATGTGTTTTGAGACTTTCATATATAGCACTAGGAGCCTTTTTGCATAGTCATAGCATTTTAGTTCAGTGCTTATGGCTTCCTAAAATTTTTCTCCATGTTAATTAACTATACTTAATTCCTCTTATCATTTAGTCAACCTGGAAATAGTTGTAATTGGGTTAATATATAACATTTCCTTTATAATAATAATAGAAGAGATTATGACTGATTAAAAACCTCAGGTGTGAATCAATAAGGCCATGACGAATGTATATATTCTAAGTTTTTTTAAACTTCAAAATAGGTATGTTATACATGTTTAATAATACATCACAAAAGTAAAATAATAGAAATTATAAAATAGAAACAGGATAGTAAGTAGCCTTTAATCCCAGCACTCGGGAGGTAGAGGGAGGCGGATTTCTGAGTTTAAGGCCAGCCTGGTCTACAGAGTGAGTTCCAGGAGAGCCAGGGCTATACAGAGAAACCCTGTCTCGAAACACCAAAAAAAAAAAAGAAGAAGAAACAGGATGGTAAATCTTTGAAATTTTACTAAAATATATATTTGAAAACAAGTTTTCTATAGTAGTGTAAACAAGACTGTACTTTGTAGTTTTTTTACTATACACTTTAAATTTTATACTTTTATTATTTTATTTTCTTTAGTAAATGCTAGTAATATATAACTTCTAAATTTTAGACTTTAGGGACACCTTTTTTCAAGATTTAAATTTTATTTGCATGAATAATTTGTCTGCATGCATGTTTGTACACTGTGCGCAAGCCTCGTGCTCTTTGTAAGGCCAGAAGAAGGCATTGGATCCCCTGTAACTGGAGATATGGAGTGTTGTGAGTCACCATGTTGGTAATGGGAATTGAACCCAATTTCTCTGTAAGAGCAATGCTTAAGAACCAAGCCACCCATTGTGTTAAACTTAGAACTATTATTTTTCCAGTTCATATTGTTGCCACTAGATGGCTTGTTTTTGCTTGAGTAGCATCCAGTCATCATAAGTAATGATCTTCAAAGTCATAAGTTCCATCTAGCCAGGCATGGTGGCATACACCTTTAATTCCAGAGAGGCAGAGGCAGGTTGGATCTCTTGAGTTTGAGTCTAGCTTGGTCTACAAAGCAAATTCCAAGACAGTTGGGACTATGCAGAGAGACCCTGTGAGGATAGTAAGGGTGGAGAAGTCTGTCTATACCTACATTTCTTTTATTTCATTTTTGTCTCAGTGGGTCAGTAATCTTCTGCCTAAGGGGCTCACAGAAAATAACTCGATTTAACATGGCTAATGCAAAGATTTGGAGTGACTTCTAGCTGAAGATATTTTATGTATTTGAAATCTGATTCTTATACAAAAACTGTCAAGAAAGACAGACATTCAAAGCCTTTGAGTTTAGTATATATTTTTGTTAGATTATGGCTATAATCCACATTTCTGGAGCGTTGTCTACTAGCTACTGAAATCTGAGGAATTTTGTGATTTCTCATAGTTGAATCTTTGTAAACTTTTAAAAATAATTATCAAGGATATGTTGGTCAGAATTTTCAACTCTGTCCCTAGTTGGATGCAAACACTATGGATATAAAACATAAAGGAAGTACTCTCCAAAGATTGAGTATCCTTGGGCTCAGTATGTAAACCAGACTCAAGAAATCTGGCTGCCTCTGCTTCCTGAGTGCTGGGATTAGAGAGGTGTGTGTGCCTCTCACTACACCGAACATATATGTGATTCTTTTTTTTTTTTAATGTGTATCAAAAATACAGGTAAAGCTACATATAAAAGTGCATGTGTACATTCTAGGCTATGAAATCATTTCAAAAATTTTCTATATAGGACTGATTTGATGTTGCCAGTTCTAGGCATCTGATTCCTCTTGACCTCCACAGTTGTGGTGCACATACATGGAGACAAAACACTCAGAAACATAAATTTTTAAAAAGAGAAATAGAATATACCTATATCAGCTCGGTAGTCTTATTCTAGTTACCAAGACAAGGTTTCTCTGTGTAGTCCTGGCTATCCTGGAACTCACAGTTCAAGCTGGCCCTAAACTCGCAGAAGTCTTCCTGTCTCTGCCTCCTAAGGGCTAGAATAGATAAATGCATATGCTACCATGCTCAGCACCTTAGTGAAGAAAATTTAAAAAATATATTACGTACTTTTTTTTTTTTACAAGAAGAAAGATCTGGTAAACTTTGTTTGGGCTTGGTGCAAAAGAGATTGCTCAGTGGTTAGAGGAACTGGATTCAGTTGACAACACCCATATGGTAGCTCACAATTATCCTTAATTTCAGCTCTAGTGGATCCAAAGCTCTCTTCTGGTCTCTAGCACCAGACATGCACGTTGTACAAATGCATGCAGACAAACACTCACACATATTTAAAAAAAATTGAGTTTAATGACCTAGAAATGGTCTTCTAAGAGCAAAGTAAAATGTAGGAAAATAGTAAATATACTGAAATTGGTAGTGTAGATTTCTTAGAGAACTTAGAATTTATATTGCTATAACTAGTTTTTTTTGTATTTGGTCTTTAAAACAAATATTAATAGCTGGGCATGGTGAGGCACAGGCAAGTGGTAGATCTATCTGAGGTTTGAGACCAGTGTGTGGTCTACAGAGCAAGTTCCAGGACAGCCAAGGCTACACAGTGAGACTCTATCTCGAAAAAACAAAACAAAATAAATATTAGCATTAAAATCTTTTATTCAGCAGTCACCCTTTTAAAAGTAGCTGTGGGTATTGTTTTTGCTTAGGACATAATAAAGAAACTTTCTTCTCACTGGCTTTAAAAAAAAAGATTTATTTATTTCACATATATGAATACCCTGTCACTGTCCTCAGACACACCAGAAGAGGGCATTAGATCCCCATTACAGATGGTTGTGAGCCACCATGTGGTTGCTGAGAATTGAACTCGGAACCTCTCAGGAAAAGTAGTCAATACTCTTAACCACTGAGCCATCTTTTCAGTCCTTCACTGGCTTTTAAAACATCGCCTTTTAGAGGGTGCCAAGGTGTAAAAAAGGTTGTCTTAATACTTACCTTTCAAATATATGTAATTCTCTTGTAACCTTTTAGTTCATTTTAAGTTTTCAATTGCAAGCTTGATGGGAAAATAATAAAATAGGAACTAAATTTATTCAGATAAGTTAGCAAAAGCATCCAGATGTTCTAGTTAGTACTACCACATATTCCACATTATAATTTGTTTTAATACTTTTTTCTTTTTGTTCATCCTGCAAGGCAAGTAGTTAATCAAACCTATGCCTTTGCTTAAAGTATGATAAGAATTTGTCTCAGAGTTTGTTGCATTAGATTTTCTTTGATCTATTATTTAAGGTCTTTTTAACTTTTTAAATTGTTTTTAATACAAGTGTTTTTAGGAATTTAGAAAAGCCATATACTCTTAAAGGTGGGATAGCTGAGATGGAAACGTAGCTTAACAAGCAGTGTGTTCCTGTAATTAATCCATGCTTACTATTTATTGCTGCTGCATCACAGGTCAATTACTGTGAATGTTTTGAAGCCTTTACAAGAATGATTTAACATTAATTGGCTTTAATATGTCAGATAAAATAGTGCTTTGTTCATCATAAATGCCAAGAAAGTAAACTTCTTGTTAATTGTATTGCAGGGTTGGCTAGTGGATCTCCTCAACAAATTTGGCACTTTAAATGGATTCCAGATACTGCACGATCGTTTTATTAATGGATCAGCATTAAATGTTCAGATAATTGCAGCCCTTATTAAGTAAGTAACGTTTAAAATCAAATGTTTAATATGTTAGTAGTTTCTGTTATTTTGGCTCAAATTCAGAAATGGAAAAATTGGGGCTGAAGAGATGGCTCAGTGGTTAAGTGGCTGTTCTTTCAGATGACCTGAGTTTTATTCCCTGTACCTATAGCAGGTAGCTCAAAACTGTCTTTAACACCAACCAGCTCTAGGAGCATCCAGCATTTCTGGCTTCTGAGGACTTCTGCATATGCCTAATCCAAATGTGAATACATAAACACACAGAGAATGTTTTTAAAGCTAATACATGTACTATGAGAACTTACTAAATTCATGCTAAGAAATCGAGTATTTACAGGAGTTTCTTCTCTTTCAGACCGTTTGGACAGTGCTATGAGTTTGTTACCCTTCACACGGTGAAAAAATACTTTCTTCCAATAATAGAAATGGTTCCACAGTTTTTAGAAAACTTAACTGATGAAGAGCTAAAGAAAGAAGCAAAGAATGAAGCCAAAAATGATGCTCTTTCAATGATTATTAAATCATTGAAGAATTTAGCTTCACGAGTTCCTGGACAAGAAGAAACTGTAAAGAACTTAGAAATATTTAGGTTAAAAATGATACTTAGGTAAGTTATTTATCTTGGAAATAATTATTTACATGAAATTTTAGAGTTGATTTACAACTGACTTTCTCTTACAGATTGTTGCAAATTTCTTCTTTCAATGGAAAGATGAATGCACTGAATGAGGTTAATAAGGTGATTTCCAGTGTGTCGTACTATACCCATCGGCATGGCAGCTCTGAGGAAGAAGAGTGGCTCACAGCAGAGAGAATGGCTGTGAGTAAACAAGCATTTAAGCCTAGAATGACTGTAGTAAAATTAGTAATGTTAGCATTCTAAATTTAAGTTGAAAATTGAATCTTTTGGTTAGTTTACAACTTTGTTAATCTTGAAATTTTAAAGTAGCATACTTATTTGGTGGCTGAATATGTCTTTGATAAATTTATTTATCAAATATTTATTTACCAGATACCAAAAATGACCCTGTGCCTATTCTACTTAAACCTTAAGTGATTGTTGCATTTAAATAATATTTTTGTGAATTAAGTGCTAGAATGTATAATATCTTTTTTATGATTTCAGCATTTATAATTTATCGAGATATTCCTCAATAAATTACTTTGTCGGGTATGGTAGTCCCAACTTTAATCTCAGCACTTGGGATGGATGTGGAGGCATGAAGCTCACAAACTTAAGACTAGCTTATGCTGCATAGCAAGATGCCATTTTAGGAGTAAAAGAGAAGACCTTACTGTAAATTTTTTAAAGTAATTTTTATGAATACAATGCATTTTTGCCTATTTTGTAAATATGCTTTTGGATTTCTATGTATTTAAATTGTATTTTAGTACTTAAAAAAACTTTTTGTTTTATTTTGAAACTTGGTTTTTAAATTACCTTTAGGAATGGATACAGCAGAACAACATTTTATCCATAGTTTTACGAGATAGTCTTCATCAACCACAATATGTAGAGAAACTCGAAAAGATTCTGCGCTTTGTCATAAAAGAAAAAGCTCTGACCTTGCAAGATCTTGATAACATCTGGGCAGCACAGGTAAGGCTCTTGAAACCTCTTAAATCCTTCTGGAAGAAATTCTTCTAAATTGTCAGTAATGCTTGAATATTCAACAGTTCATATTTGGCAAAATTTAAAGAGGCAAAAAATAAAATAATAAGGGAAACTGAGTGTGCTTGTGTATACTTGCAATCTCAGCACATGGGAAGTGCACAAGTGGAAGAATCATGTATTACAAGGGAACTTAGGCTTGAAAGCGCAAGCTTCTGACCCAGAAAATAAGGGACAGGGATGCAAATAGCTCACTAGCATACTGTACTTGACTTAGTACCAGAAAATAAAGTAATACTGTTGGGAAAATAAATATACATCTATCATTGACCTCTTAATAGACTTAGTTCTTAAGTATAGTTAAAACACTCAATTCCAAAAGACTTAAAACTTTTCAGCAGTATTAGCAACCTTTCTGAAAAGGTTTTAAAAGCCAGAAACTACATAAACAATATTCAATAAAGTAATAAAAATTTGGTATTACATGTTAACTATGTATATCCAGAAATGAAACTGTGAGATTTTAGATCTAAAGAATAGATAATGTTTCTATTGTTCACAGTCTAGTGTGCTATGTGATCTTTCTTTTTATTTATCAATAGGCAGGGAAACATGAAGCCATTGTAAAGAATGTACATGATCTACTGGCCAAATTGGCATGGGATTTTTCTCCTGAACAGCTTGATCATCTTTTTGATTGCTTTAAGGTAATTATTAACACAGCAAAGTTATTGCCATTTTATATTTAGATAGAATTGATTCATTAGAACTACAAGTTATTCTTAACCCACAAATTCTTTAAAAGCTCATAAGACAGTTTCTGATATGAAAGGACTTTATCTGGCTTAAAAGACTATGCCAGTGTTTTCTAAGAACTTGATTTTCATTTTCATGGTAGTGTTAATAGCCCTAATAAAGACTCTTGTTCACAATTTAGGTTATTATTTTGAATTCCTTTTCCCATTCTATTTTGGAAATAGGTTGAAGTGTAGAAAAGTAGGAAAGGAAGATTGTGCGAAACATAAGAGATGCCAATAAAAGAAATATCAATACAATGGTGTTCTGGGTATATATACTCAGGTAAAGCATGACATAATAGAAATATACCATTTTACAAGGCAGCGCCAGACCATACAGTCATACTCACATTGGTTCTGTCATGTACCTTTATGTAGTGTTAAGAATCTCTCTCGTCAGTTTCTGTGATTCAGTGGATGGGTTAATTGGTTAGTGAATTTATGAATTAAGAACATAGCATTTTAGGAGTGCTTACAAAGGGAGGGCCTTGTAACTATTGGCATTATATCATTAGTCACCAAGTATTACTACTAAAAAAAATAGTCATTCTCACTGGGAACATAAGTTGCTGTAACACTTTGGAAGGTTCTGTGGTGTCTCTGATGAAGTATAACATTTGGAGATTGTCAGTATAGCTCAGTAGTAGAACAGTTGGCTAGCATAACAAGGCTCTCAATCAATCCCAAACACCAAAAGATTCTTGTGTATATAAAGCAGGTTGCATGTCTAAAAACATGTGAACTGAAACGGTTTTTAATAGCTACAAATGTCTCTGTAGAGAGGATATATAACAAATGTTCATTTAATGGAATACTCCATCAGAATGGGAATAAACAAACTGAAATGATTTACCAACATGGATGAATTTCAGAATACTGAAAAAGGACTGAAACTATGTAGTAATTTCTGTACCTTGATTAAATTAACATAAACTTCAGAAATAGTTCCAGATGGCTCCTAGGAGTCTATTCACCACATACGGTTTTAAATGTAGGTAATGTTGACATAGATGTCTACACTGGGTAGTCTTATAATGAAACCAGTTTACATCTTCAAAGTATATTTCACAGTGGGGGAAAAATGACCCCAGGCATATTAAGTCAGTCACTAGGTATAAAGCCTAAAAGTCTGTATTTTCATTAAGTTTCTCAGATTAGTTTTAACACATTAAAAGTTGTAAATTGGATGTCTTGTTGAAAATTGTAGTGCTTTGAAGGGAACAAATTAATGTTTTCTGCATTTTTAAGTACATCTTTCACATTTTACACTTGAAAAGATAAACTTGCTGTGTATACTTTCCCCATAAAGACAGGTGTAGAAATAATGTAAGCAGTTATTGTGAGTGCTCTAAAATAGTCATTCATGTTGAGGTGACTCCTGAAATAGTGGTGATTTATGACCAGTGACAGCCTTGAAAAAAACAATTATTACATACTTTGGGTCTTCTTTCTTCCAGGATAATCTTTTGATAATTCCTTAATGATTAGTTCCTTGATTTCTCCTTTTGGATTCATAAATATTTATCAAGAGCTTGCTAAATGACAAGCACTTTTTTTTTTTTTTTTTGGTTTTTCGAGACAGGGTTTCTTTGTGTATTTCTGGCTGTCTCAGAAATCTGCCTGCCTCTGCCTCCCAAGTGCTGGGATCAAAGGTGTGCACCACTACCGCCCAGCGTGTTTTTTTTTTTTTTTTTTACGTTAGTATCTCACTTTATATCCAAGGCTGCTTGGAACTCACTGTGTAGACCAGGTTGGCCTCAAACTCGAGAGATCTACACTACCCTAAAATGAAGAGGAGAAAATGAAATAAGGGTTTTCATGTTACTTAAATATCTTTCTAGGCCAGTTGGACAAATGCAAGTAAAAAGCAACGTGAAAAGCTCCTTGAGCTGATTCGTCGTCTTGCAGAAGATGATAAAGATGGTGTGATGGCACATAAAGTGTTGAACCTTCTGTGGAATCTAGCTCACAGTGATGATGTGCCTGTAGATATCATGGACTTGGCTCTCAGTGCTCACATCAAAATACTAGATTATAGTTGCTCCCAGGTAAGGAGGTGTTGTTTGGCTTGGTTGTATAACTTTTATGCTCCTACAGTACTAGGTAGGATGGCTAAAAGTATAGAATAATTTTAGGTTATTCTACCATTATATTTCAAGAATTGATGTTCATCTAAGTCTGCCTTTCTTAGGCAGTTTTAAGAGCCAACTGAGTCTCTATGGAAGAGGAAGTACAAACAGTAGGTCATTTAGTGATAGTGTTGTCATATGTATGGTAAAGGAATCAAATAGATCATAAAATAGTAAAGCTGAGTTAGAAACTTTAGAGATAAATACTTTCTTTGCTCATAATAGATAAAGAACAATTAGTAGAACTTTCTAGGTAGTATATCATAACATCAGGGTGTTGCATGTTAATTCATGATTCTGTGATGAGATAGAATATTTTTTAAGTTAAAACAATAAATCTCAAACCTAGAAGTTGTTCAAACTTTACTAAATATATGTATGTGATAAATTTTAGTTACTTACTGTTTAGAGTTTGGTAGTAATGTGAAGTTAAGGCATACCTAGAGCACTTTAAAAAAATTAAACTCTTACAATTACAGTATAATATTTAGCATGTTAATCTTATAAGAAAAACCGACTTTTTAATTCCATGAATCATTGGAATTTAGCTTAATTTCATGATAATATACATTTATCTTTAAATACTATGACTTAGATAAGATAGAATTCTACTGAATATTGCTCTTTATAAAATACTGAAATTGTTTAAGGACCGGGACACCCAAAAGATCCAGTGGATAGATCGCTTCATAGAAGAACTTCGCACAAATGACAAATGGGTCATTCCTGCACTGAAACAAATAAGAGAAATTTGTAGTTTGTTTGGTGAAGCACCTCAAAATTTGAGGTAAGACTTTTAAAACTAGACAATTTAAATATTTTTATTCGTGGTTTGTTAATTTCAGTTTGCAAAAGAAAATTTTAAAGAAAGTTAATGGAATGACAGGAAACTAAGAAAAGGGCTCCTTTTAGAACAAAAGAATCTTTTGTCATTCCTACCTCCTTTGTTTCATTGATGAGGAAAGTAAGTGATAAATGATCACTATTAAAATAAATGATCAGTATTAAAATCAAGATGCTCTTGCTGTTTCATGATATCACATGGTAGTTTTCACAAATAAAAGATTGATTTTTAAATTTTACAGTAAATTTAAAAGATTAAATTGCATGGAGAGTTAAGTGATAGTAGATGGCATGATAGAACACTGAATTTTTTAATATCATTTCTTGGGCCAGGCATGGTGGTACACACCCTTAATCTAAGCATTTAGGAATCAGAGGCAAATGGATTTCTGTGGTCTCCAGGCCAACCTGGTTTACACAGTGAGTTCTAGGCCAGCCAGGACCATAGAATGAAATCCTACCTCAAACGGAAAAAAAACAAAAAAAAAAAAAACAAAACAAATACACAAAAAAATCAGGTGTTGAAGAGATGATACAGTGCTTAAGAATACTGGGTAGCCTTCCAGAGGATTGGACTTCAGCTCACAACTATTTGTAATTGGATTTTCAGGGAATCCCATGCCCAATTCAGGCCTCAGTAGACATTGCACATGGTGCACAGACACTAACACATGTATTAAAAATAAGAATTTTTAAAAGAAGTGAGTTAATGGATAAAATAAATGTACTATCTTAAGATTCCAAAATCTGTTTATAAGTACAAACTCTCCTCTTATTTTCTGGGAATGAGTTAAAATGGTTGACATAGAAAGGAAAAATTATATGATGTGAAAGAAAGCTGAGTGTAGTGGAACTAATATTCATAGATGAAGTGTGAACAGTGCAGTCATTTACTCTTGGGAACATTCTCTATATCATCATGGTTTCCTTGTGTAATAAATGCAGATGGAGGAAAAAGTAATGTTTGTCAAAGTAATCTATTTTGAGTATGTTTGGCCCAGGGTACATGTGCCTTTCTGAAATCTATTAACTTGTAGGTAGACATAGTATTCAAGTACTCTCCTAGAAATTAATGATCTTCTCTATACTAGAATGGTAGTATGAAATTTGACTATGAAATTTGTTTTGTGACAAAACAAATTGAAAAGGAATTAAGTATCTTTCTAGTGACAACAACAACTTGTCTGCAAACCAAATATTCCCAGGGTGTAACTTAATAGTTTTTAAATTTTACTACAGTATTTTATTTTGGAGGGGAGGGGGAGTAGGAACTCATTTTTGTATGGTAGTCAAGTCAGAAAGGCAACATGTTCTCACCTTCCAAATGAGGATAGTCAAACTCAGGTGTTCAAACTGACAGCAAGTGCCTTTTCCTGCTAAGTCATCTGTTTGGATAATGATGATGATGATGATGATGATAATGTAAAAAACATTGACTGGGAATTGCAATACTAGTTGTATAAAGAAGTTTGGATTTTGTAATTTTTAAAACATTATGCTTTTTTATAAAAATGCTTTGCTACTGCCATATTATAGTAATAGACACAAACTGATGCTTAATTTTCAAGTAATACAATTTTTATTTTTTAACAATTAAACATTGTTAAATTAGTTTGCTTAATGTCATTAAGGAAGTAAATGAGTAAAGCTGTCTTTAGAGTTTTTAATTAGTAGCTAATTTAGTTGTAATAAACGCTTGATTGCAAGACTTTAATTTCCTAATTATATTGTTAAGTTCTTCTCGTTTCAGTCAAAGTCAGCGAAGTCCTCATGTATTTTATCGCCATGACTTAATCAATCAACTTCAGCACAATCATGCCCTAGTTACTTTGGTAGCAGAAAACCTTGCAACTTACATGGAAAGTATGAGAATGTATGGCAGAGGTATGTATTGTAAGATAACTGTGAGAAGCAACAGTGGTGGTTGTTTTCTGTTAATTACCTTAGGAGTAACAATTTTATTTTATTTTTTTAATTTTATTTAATCTTTTTACAGTCCAGACTTTTATCCCCTTCCCAGTCCACCCTCTTGACTGTTCAACATCCCATACCTCCTCTCCTCCCACCCCACCCCCACCTACCTCCAACCCCGTCTCCCTGAGAATGCCCCCACCTCTCCACCCCTCCAGACCTCCCCACTCCCTGGGACCATAAGTCTCTTGAGGGTTAGGTGCATCTTCTCTGAGTCTAGACCCAGACCCCGTAGTCCTCTGCTGTAATATGTGTTGGTGCCCTCATATCAACTGGTGTATGCTGGCTGGTTGGTGGCCTGGTGTCTGAGAGATCTCGGCAGTCCAGGTCAGTTGAGCCTGCTGGTCCTTCTACAGGGGCCACCAGCTTCTGTCCATTGGTTGGGTGCAAATATCTGCATCTGACTTTTTCAGCTTCTTGTTGCCTCTTTCAGAGGATAGTCATAAAAGGTACCTTTTTTATGAGCACTCCATAGCCTCAGTAATAGTGTCAGGCCTTGGGACCTCTCCTTGAGCTGGATCTCAGTTTGGGCCAGTCGCTGGACCTCGTTTTCCTCAGGCTCTTCTCCATTTTTGTCCCTGCAGTTTTTTCAGACAGGAACAGTTCTGAGTCAGAGTTTTTGACTGTTGGATGGCAACCCCATCCCCTCACTTGATGTCCTGTCTATCTGCTGCAGTTGGGCTCAACAAGTTCCTTCTCCCCACTGTAGGGCATTTCATCCAAATTCTCTCCCTTTGAGTACTGAGAGTCCCCTCCCAGGTCTCTGCCAGTCAGGATTAAGAATTTCTTGTGACCTTTTAAGATAGTGCCTGATTTGTTTTATTACTACATCACCTTTTAAGAACCTTTTGTTTTCTGTAAGTCTTAAGTGTCTTCCCTATGTGAAGCCTTACGTTAACATTTTTTGACTTCTAAACAGATGTCATTATCTCTTTACGAGTGTGCTTCTTAGTAGACATTCTCCTCTGTCTTTTTTTTATTTTGTTTTGTTTTTTGAGACAGGGTTTCTCTGTGTAGCCCTGGCTGTCCTGGAACTCACTCTGTAGACCAGGCTAGCCTCGAGATTCTCCTCTGTCTTATGTTATGTTTATAGTCCAGCATTCCCAAAAGAAAAGCCACCCCCTAATGTTCTGGTTTGTCCCCACAGCCATAAAGAACTTTATGTAGTTTCAGTGTTACAGACTGAATTATACATGATTCCTACATATACCATTCATTTGCCATGTTATAGGATTTGCAATGTGTATATTAAAATGAAGATTTGTAACACTTATTTCAGTAGAATAGACTTGACATTGAATTAAATTCATACTGCTTATAAGTCACGAAATTTTGGCTAAAAATTCAGATAAACATAATTAAAGCAACTCTTCAGATAGTCCTACTGATTTTGTTGACTCTGCTGTTAGATTTCTCCCCTTTGGGCCAGGACCTCCTTGATGAGGTGCTAGATAAAGCATTAACTAGGCAGCTGAGGAGCACCAGATAGTGATCTTTAATTATTTTAGTCTTAATTTGTGTCTCATCATCGTGATAGAACAGTGAAGGCCATATAAGTATACAACCATGTGGTATGTGTTCTATACCAAAGAAAACCAAAATTAGAGAAATAGAAAGGTCAAACATGAGATTAATTCATCAGACTTTTTAATTAACAGTACAGACTTTGCCCCAAGGTGTCATACAGGCTATATGTATATTTTCCCGGTGATTTTTATGTACTTAGATTTCATTCTCAAAAATTGGAGACTGTCCTTTTGTATATTTAGGAGGTAATATATGTGTAGTTTATTTAGTTCAGCCTCATTAAGGTTTTCTTCTCCGTTTGAGTAAAATTCTACATGAATTACTGCCTTATCTTAGTTTTGTGGTCACAAGAATGCTTGCATTTTTCAAGATTTTTTTCTTATATTGTCTTATTTCTGCATGTGAATACCTGTCAGTTTACACATATATTATCCAAGTCTGATATATGACTGACTTAAACATAGTATTTTTTATGATCTTGACTAAGTTACTTATGCTAAAACAATATCTGACACATAGTAAGGCACTGGATTTTTTTATATTTTCCTCTGAATTCATTGATACCACACAATTCTTTGTCTTAATCAGTCTGTATACTATTTCACTGTAATAGCACTCTTATAGTGAACAGTAGTCTTAAATATTTTAATATAGGGAAGAGGTAATTTTTTTTGTAAAAAGTAACTTTTAAAGCTACTAAAATCCTATTAAACTCACTGATAGTAATGTAGTAATGTCTGCCAACATTTTTGAATTTGCAATTGTGCAGTAAATAACAGAATTTGTTGCTTGTACATAGTGAAGGTGTGTGAATCTTATTATAAATGAGATATTTAGCAGAATAACATCAGACTTCCATAGTTTACTGATAATCTGAATTCCAGGCAACCATTGCATCAGCATTAAGTATATGTTCTGTTCATATTTCATTACCACAGTCATCTTCAGCTTGGGTGGGATTGTGTATCAGTCAAATGGTTGGAGGATGCCACCTTCTACATTTGGGCTGTTTTTTGTTTGGGGGGTTTTGGCCCATGTTCTTCTCAATTTCTTGTCTCCCATCTCCTCCTCTCCCTCCTCCCCCTCTTGCTCCTCCTCCTCCTCTGGAGAAAGGAAGATCTTACTGTATAATTCAGGCTGTCTTGAAACTAGACAAGGCAGCTCTTGGTCTCATTGAAATCTGCTTGCTTCTGCCTCTCAAGTACTAGAACTAAAGGGATACACCACTATACCCAGCACCATCTTCTATATTAACTTTCTTTTTTTTGTTTTTTTGTTTTTTTCGAGACAGGGTTTCTCTGTGTAGCCCTGGCTGTCCTGGAACTCACTCTGTAGACCAGGCTAGCCTCGAACTCTCGAGGTCAGAGATCCGCCTGCCTCTGCCTCCCAAGTGCTGGGATTAAAGGCGTGTGCCACCACCACCCGGCCAGCCTACTAAAATTCTTACCAATATTTGCTTATGTGTTGTAACTACTAATGCTTTCATGTGCTAGTACTTACCAATCTTTCTAGAGTTTTTCTGTACAGACAGCAAAGTGTAAACCATCTTTCAGTTGTCACTAAAGCTTTAGTTCACTGGTAGAATAGTTATTGTGCTGACCTCAACACTTACTAGAAATATGATTTACCTCATTTATAGCTTTTCCTTGTTCTCAGCCATGAAAATACAAAGTCTATATGGGTTTTTAAAATGCATCATTAACTCTTTGTTAGCATTTTCTACCTACCTGGAGAAATGCCTGTTTGGGGGCCTAGAGCAACGGCTTCTTACTGGGAAAAGTATGAAAGTGATGAAAGAATCAAGTTTTGTCAAAAGAATGGAAGATTTGGCATTTATCAGCCAGAACTAGAACAAAATAATAAAAATAACTGTATGCATTGAATAAATAAAATATAAACTCATATAAAGGAAAATAAAAGACTCAGTGGACCTTGACAAAACAAATGTTTAACTGCATAAAAATACCAGAATAATTTTAAAGTGCCTAGGAATTGTTATAGGGAGTTATAACAAATAGGAAAATCTAAATCTCAGAACTAGCAGTTGAGCTACAACTTGTTCATTTGTCTCCACAGTTAGCTTCACCACAAGGAAACTATTCTCGGCTAGTTTGACTAAGGAGTAGTCCCCCTCCCCACAGCTCCTAGTCTAGGACTGCACTTGACTTCTTGCACAGCAAGCTGCTGGCCGCCTTATTCTTAGTCCTTTGTTTCAGATACCCTCTTAATTATGCAGATGTCACTTCACTACCCTCCCTATTCAGTATCTGTGTAAGTTGAAACTTAACTCCAAATATTATAAGCCAGCCCTAATTACCCCACCACAACTGGTTCTAGTGGTTCATACCAGGGGAAATTAATGGCCCTATTTTTACCCCTGCACATACTGATAAGTCAGAGATATCATTCTTGGAAAAGCTGTGTGCTGTCGTGCCTCTGATTCATATCTAGTGACACAAACAGATATTGTGCCCAAAGGGTGGAGAGAAGCCATAGAGACAGAATTTCCCCAGTTGGTTATATTTGAAGAAACCATAACACTGCATGCCAAGTAAATTCTCTACAAAGAGAATGGATATGGAACAGGTTGAAATTTCTTCAGAGAAACTATAGGTGGCTAGTAAGAACTTTAAAAGATGCTGAATGTGATTAATTTTTAAAATGTGAGTCAAAACCATGCTAAAAGAGAGTATATTGTGATATAGGACAACACTTGGTATTGCTGAGACTGTTCAGAAATTGGATTTTCACTCTTTGTGGGCTTATTTACTAATTAGATTGGCAGTTCTTCTAAATATTAAACAGAAGTTATCATAGTATGGTTCATACTCAAGTAAAATGGAAACAAACTTATAAAAACTTGGAAATGAACATTTATAGCAAGCTTGTTACATTAGCCAAACGATAGAAATAATAAAAAGTGATATGTGCATACAGTAAAATATTGCTCAGCATATCAAAAGTATTACATGCTACAATACACATGAATCTTGAAAACTTGCTAACTTTGGCACTGATAAAGATTATTACATAATTGCACATATATGAAATGCCTCAGACAATACTGTCTGAGGAATGTGTATGAAGAGGAAACAAAAATGATTT